GAGCACAATTTGAGATCACAGTAAACAGTGGCGTTTGGCCACTTGGTAGCACTATAACAGGGAAAAAGCTTAAAAACCGCTATGTACGCTATGCATCTGTTAGTCCTGACTTGAAAATTGGTATGCAGCCCCTTTGTCCAAATACCCACACTTGCAGTCTTGGCCACTTGATAGCACGTGCGTGCGACAGGAAGTAGGTGAGCAAGACTGTCCCAGCCCTTAAAAACGCCGAAGCGCAGTGCCCTTAATGCACACTAATTCCACACTACCGCTCCGGAGCAGTATTTGAGACTTGGTGTATCCCATACACAGACCGCAAGTGCGGGTATTTGGACAAGGGGTTAGACCATGTGCTTAGATCAGTAAATATGGCCCTATATTTCTTCGGTAAGTTCCCCTGAAATTGCATTTATAGAGGACCACTAATGGGCTCATTCAACTCACTAATATAGTGCTTTTCACAGGTTTTACTTTTGAATTTACATTTACACAGTATAAAATCACTGTTCTAAGATTTAAAATCACATTGTCAAAGTTTTCCAATTTATACAGACATATCAAGTTTTTTAATTAAGCCACATTATGATTAGTTAAACCTGAAAATGATATATAAATTCTTACAAAAAGAAGAGGACCAGTAAGTGAGTTTATTTCAAATATCTATAACCGCAACAAAATGTGTGTAAGCATGCTTAAGGAGTATTAATATAATAGTTTAACAATTTCAGTTGTGTGCGTTTCTCTGTGTGTGAGCAAATTCTCCAACGTGAATGTGTTTTACTGTCAGTCAGCCATACTTTTTTGTGTTTGCTTGGACCCCAACAGCATCCATGTCATAAAGGCCTTAAAGCCTTTATTTAATTTGTATTCAAAGAGAACAGCTGCATCTGTACATGTTTTAATGATCAGCTTTTTTCCACATTTCATATAAATCTAAATAGAGAAAAATTTATAGAAAGTTGTTGTTGTTCCCCAAGTAGAAACTCGCTGTGGATTTTCCTGGAACTTGTCAAGTGACATTTTGTTTACATTTTTTCTCTCTTAAAAAAATATTCACACAAATTGCTTGTGCTCATTTGTCTCTATCTTCTCACTTCTGTCCTTTATGTAAACGCACTGACATAATTTTTACGTGTCCGTGTGGATAAGATACTCATGTCACAGCTTTGGTAAACGTTTCATGATCCCATTGTTCACATGCATTAAAGGTCCCCTGAAATGCTTAGAAACATGCAGCGTTACTCTGTGTTGACGTCACTTTAACTGAAACAGGAAGACAGGGCGGGACGTATCAAGCAGCCCCGCCCCTTTTTAAAATAATACACCAATAGCGTTCATTTATATCACAGCTTGGGCTAGAGCCGTTGAGCTCCGTAAAGCTGCATTTATAGTTGAGCTGTTTTGAGTGACGAACTGCAAGCTTTGAATGCTTATATCTTCTAAATGCGAATTTTGTCACTGTTTTGGAGCACACTGCCTTATAGATAACCTTAAGACTAACATATTGATAATAACACCCAAAAAACTTTAATTTTGATTTGGGGACTTTAAGAGCATGCAGGTCACATACTTGCACATGTAAATGCTTACTGCCTGCATATCAGCGAGACCTTCACTTAGACAAATACGTTGACTTGAGAGAACGTTTCTGAATAACAGCGCACATGGAATTACTGTTGGGTAGGCTAAACGAGGGAAAATATATAGGCCTAATTTTAAAATATCCAAATGTTTTACTTTTATTTTTTGGGTCGTTATTCTCAGTGGTAATTACCACTATTGTAGTATATTATGGTGTTACAAAAATTCATTAAATAGAATGTTTTTAAAATATTTTCCCCGTAAGCATAAGTTAAAGGGAGTCACTGATACTGCAGGACGAGCTGGCAAGACTACAGAATGTGATTTACCTGAATATTTCCTAAAGATGAGCGACTAGTATGTCAGAGTAGCTAATAGTATGTCCTCGTGTTGATCAGAGTTTAAAAAACAAAAAGCACATTCTATCTGATAGGCCTAAATCTGTTGGGAAACGACAGGGTTGAAATTAAGCACGAGCTCCCCCAAGTGTTGAAATCCCGTCATTATTTTGTCTAAATAGCTCATTTCAATATAATATAATTCACAGCAAGGGAAAGAACAACATTTCACTTTTTTTTTCGTTGCAAATGTGAGATGCAGTAAATTATGATCAATTCAAAATTCAAATAAAAAAAACTTTATTGTCTGTCCTAGAAGGTTGCTAAATTGTCTTTGACAAATGCTCATTAAAAACAAATATAGGCTATGCAAAAAAAAAATAGCAAATGGGATAAACATTTTCTTACACACTCTTTTTAACCAGATGGGAGTTGTTGAAAAGAATCATGGAAAGGCTTTCCTTGAAATGAGACTTGTGAGAATTTAAAAACATGGTTTTATTTGAGTAGTTAGTTGTGAAAAATGCTGAGAGGACATTATCAATTGCAAATGGAATAAACATTTTCTTACACAAACTCTTTTTAACCAGATGGGAGTTGTTGAAAAGAATCATGGAAAGGCTTTCCTTGAAATGAGACTTGTGAGAATTTAAAAACATGGTTTTATTTGAGTAGTTAGTTGTGAAAAATGCTGAGAGGACATTATCAAATACATTGATCTGTAACTCAAATACAAATACATCATCTGTAACTGTACAGAAGTCATGAACTAGTCCAGAAATAAGGTCAAGATCCACAAGAGCACCTGACATTAGACTTAAGAACAATCATTTTTTAATTACATTTATTACCCAATGTTTTAATCCATGTTAGACCCAAGGTTGGGTTGAAACATCCCAGCATTTTTTAGAGTGTAGCATCCATATGACATTTACAGATTCAGCCCAAGAAAGAATATTGAATTCTGTATAACATCATGCAAGAGAAGATGCATGGAGAACATGATTTATTTGAAGCATAGTTTTTAATTTAGGTGACAGAAATTCAGGTCGTTTTTCAGTGCTTCTGGCACACAAATATCAGTGCTGCAGTTAATGATCCGATGACAAAAACCCTTGTCTTGAACAGCATGTACCATATCAGCACTGGTTCCAAGACCCCTTATGAAGACAGAAACACACACACACACACAGATTTATTTGTGATACTCACTAGAAATAAAGTTGTAGCTCTAAGATTCACAGAGTTCATTCAGTAGCAAAATAATACAGATTTTATAAACTACGTGAGATATTATTGAAATTATCAAAGACAACTGTTGCAGAACTTTTTTTTATCAATATTCAATTAAATTATTTTTCTGTTGTAATTCACTTTGGGAATATATAAAAACTTTAATATGTTGTAGTGTAATTCACAATATTTTTCTAATGGTTGTTATATGTCTCATAGGTCGAGCAATGTCTTAGCAAGACAATAGAAGAATTAAATGATATTGTATTAAAATTGTCAACAAAAGTTATATTTTGGTCATCCTGCAAATTGCTTTGTACCAGCCAATAAATCAACATTAAAGAAATAGTTCACCCACAAATGAACATTTGCAGAAAAATACATGTAGATGACTTTGATTATTCATCGGATCAGAATTGGATAAATTTAGCATACATCACTTGCTCACCTATGGGTGCCGTCAGAATGAGAGTCCAAACAGCTGATAAAAACACAAAAATCACTATAATCCACACAACTCCAGTCCATCAGTTAATGTCTCGTGAAGTGAACAGCTGTGTAAGAAACAGATCCATTAAGACAAACTATCCATTCAAACGAGTCCTCTATCCATAATATTGCTTTCTTCAGTGAAAACCTCTCATATTTTGGCCATGAAGCGACAGTTAAAAGTGAAATGCCTTAATGATGCATTCACTGCAGAGGATCAATTGGTGACCAAGTGATGTAATGCTTATTTTCTCCAAATTCTCGTCCGATGAAGAAACAAACTCATCTAGATTTTGGATGATATGAGGGTGAGTAAACTGTCAGCATATTTTCCTTTTTGTGTGAACATTTCCTTTAAAGTAAATGCTACTTTAATGATTTATTTCAATACTCCAAATTCTGTATATATGATGGATTAAGTCTCAGATACACTCTTAAAAATAATTCTAATATTCTGATTTATTATCAATGTTGGAAATAGTTGTGCTGCTTTTGGAAACTGTGATACTTTTTCAGGATTCTTTAGTGAATAAAAAGTGAAAAAAGAACAGCATTTATTCCAAATAGAAATGACCGAACACGTGAAATGTAACTTTTGTTATTTTCATTCAAATCAATTTAGTTCAATAATATTTGTTCTTTTTTATTTAGTATTTTGAGAGAATTTCATGATACTAATGAATATTTATGCAATAATTGTGATCATTTTTTCCCCATTGAAAATTTTTAGAAATAAACACATATTTTTTATTAAGTTGTGGATTTGGATATTTAGACATTCTCAAAGACGACTTTTTTGTAAAGGTTTAGATTTTGTGTTTGAAATGTCAGTTTTTGCATTAATTTTACTACAGTCTAACCTACAGTGTGGCTATTTTGCACTCTTGGTATTTTAGAGTGTCACCCCTTCATTGCTGTGCACTTTTCTCGGCATCTGAATGATTTGTAGATTGTACACACAAAAACAATTCTCTGTCATTTCGTATTTTTGCGTATTTCCCATTCATTTCCAATGACAGTCATTTTTGACCGCGAACAAAGTGTGACTAATTTTTTACGACCATTTAGCGTTATCGAATCAACGAATATTCGACTTTTTTGGGGGTACACCGATGAAGTAGCGATTTTTAAATCTTTCCCAAAAAAAAAAATCCGTTCTAAAATGACCGGAAAACCCCATAGGGTTAACCCCCCTGCAAACTAACATAATTCGAGTGAGTTCAGTATTTTATCCAGCATACTAAGACAATACTGGGGACATGAAAATAGTGTGCTTAATACCAACGTACAGTACAAACATTTTCAGTATTGTAAAAGTTGTCTACACCAGTTTCTACGTCATCCGGTTCAGGTTCTCACGTTGTTTTACGTTGAATGAAACTGCGCATTATTTTTTCCGAAGAGCGCGGAATTTGATGACCCGGTATTCTCCAAACCCAACTACGCAAGATTTGCAACTTAGCCCTGCTAATGTGAACGACGACAGCGGAGGAAACGCGCCAGCCGTACGGAGAGGCTTAAAGAGACATCAGCGAAGAGGGAGAAAAAATGATAATGGCTTCAAGGAATGAGCATTAAAACCGACCAAATGGGAACTGTCATCGACTTATAATACAGAGATCTAGGTAAAAGTGTCTAATCTGTTGATACTTCTTCCTCCTTGGACGATTTATGGAAAATTCCGTGTACGTAATTTAAACCAATTTCGACTGTTTGGGATTAAGGAGTTGCCCGGTTAACGGCTGGCAACAAAATCTCCGTGCTTGTCAACAAATATTGCTTTGACGTATGTATAATGTGGTTGTAGACCATAACAAGCTGTCTTTTATTTTCCATAACCCCGCTGGTGTTGTTATGCGGGTTTAGTAACTCTCGTTAGCTCGCTGAAGCGCAGGCCACATATCGTTAGCTTGTTTGGGCTAGTTAGCGCGTTAGCCGTGTTCACTCATTTCTGCTGCTTAGTTGGCAACTCAGTGGCTAACTGACAACATTAGCTCTTCAGCAGTCGAGGATTCACAAGAACGTCCCTTCTTTGCTGTCTTTACGTTCGTATAATGTACTTTTACAAAGGGAACACAATGTACCAAAATATGTTCGGAGTTCATCTTCGCAACTCAAGTTTCTTTCTCATACTTTGGTGGCGAGCCGAATTAGGCTAGCAGGCACATTTGTCTAGTTTATTTCCCGCAAGTAGCCTTTTAGATATCGTTTCGAAATAAATATCTGACAGTGTAGCGCGTTTTTATTTCTCGAGCTTACTAAGAATCGGTCATAGATTAGACAAGCTCCTGAATCGAGAGGAAAGGCCACGGTGCAGGCCTGATATCACATTTGTTGGCGTTGTAAAACAGTTTTGTTGTCGATGCATGGAGATCAGGCCTGATCCGAGATGAGACGATGGATTATAGTCTTAGCTGGATGGTTAACTTTATAGATTTGATCACATTTAATCATAGTTTATGATGCTTATACCTTGTTATTGGAAGTGGAATTAATGCTACAAGTCCACAGGCAGAAAGTAAAAACATTGTTTTTTTTAGACTGATATCAAATGTTGTGTATCTTAAAATGTTTTGATGTAAAGACACCAGTTTTCTTTCTTTGTCATGAGATGTAACATGTCAATAGTTAAATTGACAGTTCTTGATATTAAGATGCATTATTTCAGTGAATTCATTCTGAATGGATTACAAGGAACATTTTGTTGGAAAGTCATTTAGATGTTTTTATGTCACCATAAGCAATGAATTTATGCTTGACAAGGAGATCTATCTATCTATCTATCTGTCTATCTGTCTGTCTGTGTGTCGTTCTGTCTTATCTATTTTAATGTTAATATGTTTACTGGGCATGAATTCTTTCAAGTTTGTTTTTAAGCAGCACTCTCTATTGTTAAATTAAATGTTATTTGTATAGTGCATTTCACAATACATTTTCTTTCAAAGCAGCTTTGCTGAAAGTGTATTAATGGTATCAAATGGTTTTCAGTGGTACAATCAAGACGTAATCTGTTATTGGTCAGAGATGAGTGTGTCAGATTAGTATCTATATGTCAGTAGTACACAGCTATAAGATAATACAGGTTAAGTAGCTAGTTTTGTATGTCTATCAAAGGGAAAATAAAACCATGGATGGCATCATCTGTAACATCTGGTGAGGTGCCTCCCTCCAATAACAACACAACCAAGACACTCTATCCAAGATGACTCCGGCTGGGCTCGTCTTCACATGACCTCAGGCCTCATCTCGAGCTCCTGAGGGATGTATTTTTAGAGCTGAAAGTCAGAAACGCTAGATAACATTTCCTGTAGGGAGATGGTCTCCGGTTTCGTGTCTCTCAAATGTTCAGACTTATGAGTTTCATAGAGGCAGTGATGGTGCAGTTTTCTCCCTGCATTTTTATTGTATGTGTTCTGTTTTATTTGAGGTCTTAAAAGAGTTTGAGGCTTTAAAACAAAGCAAATTGTGTTTAAGAAGGACTTGTATATTGGTTATGTATAAATGTTGAAATTCAGTGTCTTACCACAGAGTGTTAAAAGCTGCCGTGTTAGTAGCTGAAATAGATTTAGAAGTTGTAATTGGTAACACAAGAAAGCTTTATTATTTAGCCCTGGCCCCTGAGATAAAAAAAGGAAGAAAAAAAAAAAGTAGGTTATTTTGGGGGGTTTCTTTCAATATATTTCTATTTAAGAGTTCTTAAGGTGTCTTTTAAATATTTAATATATTAATGGGCTAAGTTCACTTGGGAATTATATTTCTTTCCAAACCTGTATGTAGGGTTGCAAAAAGGCGGAAACTTTTCGAAAGTTTCTGGAAATTTTCTACCCCTTTGCAACCCTACCTGGCTGACTTTCTTAATGAGAGAGAATTTGTTATTTTTGACTGAACTGTCCCTTTAAATGAGAAGTACAATGTGTGTTCCTCACCACCATAGTAGAACATGTGCCAGTGCAGTTCTCTGTGTGTACTTTTAAGCAGTCTATTTAGTGCTAATTGTGCCTTTTCTCTGCCCCAGATATTCTAAAGTGATAAGCAGCTGATGTTCTGCCTGTTTCCTCTCAACCCAAACGTTGATACTTGGACTCAAGGAATGCCTGACATGTCTCTGCAAAACCACCTGGAGGGGACGCAAAGGATGGAAACCGATGCCAGACACCACCTCACTTTTACCAGCTAGGGTCGTGTACATCTGTCCTTCTCCCAAGGAATGTGCTCCTCTATGGTTGGATTTAAGGAAGATTTCCATATGATGTCTTCGTCCTGAATTGTATCGCCCTTGGATTGTTTGCTATACCTTCCCTGTCTATAAAAGCAGTTAATGTCTCATTTAATCCATATGTGTAGAGCCGTGTTGTGGATAAGCCATTCCCTCCACTCTCTTTCTCTCTAAATTCCTCTCCTCCATCCCATTCCCTGTGCCCCTGTTGTTAGTTGTTTTGGTGGCTCTGTGATTTTATGGCAGTGGAGTAATCGTGGAGAGGCCGGGGTATCACAAGCTTATGGATTTTGATAAAAGAGGAGGAGGAGGAGGAGGAGGAGGAAAAGGAGAGGCGGAGGAAGGAAAGAGAATGTCTAAGACTGGTGGGAGCAGGACAGGGCATGGGGGTGGCCGAGGCTCTGGGACCAACTCTGGGGTGCTTATGGTTGGCCCTAACTTCCGAGTGGGAAAGAAGATCGGCTGTGGGAACTTTGGCGAGCTTCGACTTGGGAAAAATCTTTACACCAATGAATATGTGGCCATTAAACTGGTAAGTTCCTCACAAAAACAGTTGATATTGTGTTTATATTAGAAGTTAATGCACACTGACATTCAACTGCTGCTTGTAGTGTACATGCGTGCTGTTAAACATTAAAAAAAAGGGATGTGACGTGTAGCCAAGTGTGGTGTCCCATACTTGGAATTTGTGCGCTACATTTAACCCATCCAAGTGCACACACACAGCAGTGAGTAATGAACACACACACACACACACACACCCGGAACAGTGGGCAGCCATTTTTGCCGTGGCGCCCGGGGAGCAGTTGGGGGTTCGGTACCTTGCTCAAGGGTCTCTTGTG